TTTGGAGTGTGTGAGGATAGAACTTTGATCATCCAATCTTTTGATTGAAAATATTTTAAGCTAGCTTAATTGACAATAAATCAATACCTATAGTAAATAAAGTTTCAAATTCTTAGGTTTGTAGCTATGTATAACAAAAAAAAAATTATATTTATATGAAACAATAATACATCATGTGATGTTCATAAATGCAATACAGTATTTATTATTTTTCCACTACATACATTTGTAAAAGTGAAGATTGAATTGGTATTTGTTATAACGTTGTGTATTATTTCAATAATTCTATCTACTTGTCAAATGTCAAACACGAGAGCTATTGTCTATTGTCCATCGTCCTCGTCCAACACTTGCTATTAAAACGGCACCATTTTTACAAATTATATAAAACTTATAAAACATAGATAGAAACAACATTAAATGGAAAAATGTGAGAGAGAGATGGGGGAATTAGGCAAGGCAACAACACATAGACAAACAAGAGATTGCACAGTGCAGGCCAAATAAATGGGTCACAGTGCCTCTTTCTTTGTTAGCAAACCAAGCTCATGTACTTCTTTCTCTATGCTTTTTAAGTACGAAAAATTCCCAAACATCTCCCATTGCTCCATGCACCCCTTTATTTCTTTGCCCACCCACATCATGCACAAGGACACTCTTATTAAATACCTCTCAAAATATTTTAGAAATAAGAAAAGATTACTATAAATAAAGACTTGTTTATTATAGTGCTTAAGAAATATTTACGCCACAAAAGTACTAATATTGTCGATAGAAAATTGAAAATTTTTATTATGAACATGAACCTAGTTCTGTGTAACGCCCCAGTTCCAGTATTTAAACTAGGATTTGGAATCCATATTTAACACTTAATTGTCCTGACATTCTCTACATTCCATGCGGCTCGATTATGCTACTGTCTTTATATGAGCTACTTAGAAGAGTGAAGACTATCTTTACTGACCAACGCGAGCAATTTATTAACCACGCTTCCATAATGTTATGATATTTCTGATTCGGATGTAGTATTAGTTCATTCATGTATCATTCTTTTTATTTGGATGTCACATTCAACGATTAAGAGTATAGTAATTTTTAAGGAAAGATAATTAAATTTGAATCACTATTAAAGTTGGCAGTGGATAAGTTGTGTAAATATAATCCAATTTCAGTATGAAAACAAATCGTTATTTTTGTTTTTGTAGATGACCAAATATCTTTCCCAATGCTTTTTATATTTGTACTTTAACGTTTATTAAATGCACGGCATCTTTCCAACGGACAAAACCTCGTGACAACTCGCCAAACGGAGAAATCGATATCATCGAGAAGCGGACCGATATTTTTAAAATACCGCATCACGAGATGACACCACGAGTTAATGCTGAGATGATGGGAGCGGCCACGTGTATCGGTAAAGTTGAGGAGATGAATGAATGGCTGTTGCTGACCTAATTTCTTTTTTCCTTTTTTTCTCCTTAATTAAAAATAATAATAAAATACATCTTCGATTTCACCGAAAGAGACGTTTGAATTGACAAGACCAGCCCCGGTTCCTTTCACTGGGCCCCACCTTCCTTTTGCGTACGTTAGCACTCTACCGTTCTTTTCTTAAATATCCTGCGCCGACCACGACTTAACGTGAGCGAGCATCCGGCCAAATTTCGTCCCGCTTGGGGGTGGCGATCCTCTGCGGGTCGTGTGCACCGGCTGCGGTGGATTCTTGTCTTATCTGAGAGTTGAGGGGCTTTGAGATGACGTGGCGAAGTTTGATGCGGTGGGGATTGTGGTAGCGGGTGTAGAGGAACGAGCCCACAAAATCTAGGGCTAGATCTTAAGGTGTACGAAGATGATAAAATTACCAGTCCGTTATCTGACATTCCTTACCCCTTCGCCAAACTTTGTGCCACGTAGACTTCAGTCAAACTGACGGAATGAGGGCAGTGCGGTTCGTAATGATGACCCACACTTTCCGTAACATGAGCTGGATGCACGTCTACTGTCGGCCTTGTTCATTTTTTATTCACATTTCTTAATAAAATTTTGGTTTAAATACTCATTTCATACTTTAAGCTTCCCATTTTGTTTCGTTCAATTTTTTTTTTCATTTTGTTTTTATTTTTAAATATAGAATTTGATTGAATATTTGAGCTCATGAATATTGATAGAAAATTAACGTTTTAATCAATAGTTAAATTTTAGTTTATTTTCGTACTTGTATTTTCAAAACCTCTATTCTTAGTCGATCTATTTTTAACTTTTAACTAATTTTAGTATTGCACTTACCAAATATTATTATGGTCCCATCTTCGTAATTTAAAAAAGTGTCTATTTTAGTATCTTCAATTTTATTTATAAATAAATAAATGTAGCATCAAATTTTACCCACTAAATTTGTTGAAATATAGTTGTCAATTTGTATCAATGATTTTCGTTAGGTATAAAAAATTTACAAATATAATTTAAATTGGTCACTTTTTAAAAGTACAATAACACAAATTGTCATTTTAAAAATACAAAAATTAAAATAAACAAAATTTTGAAGTGCGTATACTAAAATATAGTAAAATTTATAATGACCAAAATAGTATTTAAACTTAAAAGGAGTGTTTGTAAGTTTAATTTTAAAAATCGTGAAATAAAAAATAAAATTGTGGTTAAATATTTGTTACTAAAATACGTATAGGTAAAAATACTTGCGCTTCTAATTGTACTCCCAAAAACTCCAATAGCTTATCTTATCGATATATTGCTTGGTAAATCAAAATTGTGTAAATATTTTCACTTAACATGAACATGGTTCAAATCTTAGATCAAAGAGTTCGAATCATTGCACCATGTGATGTTGGGCCTGTGGACTCGTCATGACAAAAGTACTGGACCCTCCACACGGGTGCCACTCTTGGAGAAATTAGCGTGGGCTGGCTTGTTACATGTAATGGGCTTCAGTTTGGGCCGAGGCCCATGTCAATTGTCGCCTGTGTCAAAATAAAATAGTGAATACTTATGCAAATGATTACAGAGGATAAAACCATTTTAATAAACAAGCTTCCTCAGACGAGACAAAATTCATGATAAAACAATTTCAACGAAGCTAAACTCATATATCATGGCTGAATAAAGAAGTTTAAAGTTCGAATTTTTACCTATATATTATTGAACGTCTATGTCATAGACTAAAAACCACAGTAGCCTTTGACAAACTCCGATACTTAAGTTAAAAGAATAACGTATGCGTATGATATCTTATCTGAATTTAGGAGAATCCCCAGGCCATCAGGATATCTTTTCTCTTGAATCTTTGATCGGATATCTTCCCATTTTGAATGGTAGAAAATATAGATTTTCTCGATTATAATTGCCTTGATATAAAATAATATTATTATCCGTTAATTTAACAGGAATAATGGTCATAAGTATTATAGGAAGAACCTTAGCATAAAAAATATAATTAATGTATTATGCGTGCATGGAGGACTCGGGGGAGGTTGGTGGGTTATCAAATCAGAACCTTCGTTCTTAGCATTTCGAGGCATCCACGTTTTCCCGAAGGAACTATATACCAAAACTTGAAAATGGAAACCGAATCCCTTGACCAATAATTTCACATCTCAAAATTAATTTTCTTTTTGCAGGTTATAAAATTTACATGCTAATGTTAACAAAAATTAATGAATTTACTTAGCTAGAGAATGGGTTAATTGTGTGTGTTGAGTTATGAGCTGACTCTAAATTTAATTTTTCAGTTTTTTATTACTTCAAGTTTCTTTCTTTAAAGTTAGATTCAATTATATGTTATTACTGTTGTAGGTTTCAGTTTCATGGACGGTAAGTTTCAACTTTTTTAATGTTGTTTTAAATTGCATGTTGGTTATTGAATAGGGTTAAGTTTTGTACATATAGGGTGAACTTTCGTAAGAAATTTATATCACCAATCTTTACAATATTATTATCAGATTATAAGTTGATTTTCTTATCTATTGAATTTCACTGTCTCATATTACATATTTTCTCATTCTTCATCAAACATTAAAAATTTTATTATTTCTTCCGCATTTTACTTTCATTTTCTCAATAATGTGGAGATCATATATTAGTGATTTGGATTCGAACTCATATATCGAATGGCAAAATAGATATGCACAACAATGTGTTAGATCTATTATCTTATTTATAAGGGGAATCTCTCAAGTTGAATTAGATAGGTTGACTCAATCGAATGATTTGATCCTGGTCGAGTATAGTTTACTGGTAATACTACTTAGATGGCTCGAGCCACATTGCTTCCTTAGCCTAATTCCAATCTACCTAATAATGTCTCCTATCAGCTCCTCAAAAGATAACCAGACACATCTTAGAGAGAGATGTTTATTCACGCAGTCAACCAAGGAGTCACTCTCACATCCCCATTTTTTTAAGTTTTCAGAGTCACTAGTAGACATTCATCAAACGATCGAATTCGTGGGAAGCACAATTCCTACAAAATATGCACCTCAACTTCTGCTAGTCTAGGTTCAGAAAATGACATCAAAATCCATGCTTTGTTTATTTGCAATAAAAAATGCAACTTTTTATACGTAGAAACAGAGGGGTGGGTGGGTTCTAGTATTTGATGCGAAAAGTTTGAGCTTTGTACATTAATCAGCCTGAAGAAATGTTTTACGATTCAATACTTGCCAGAAGCTTTAGCAAGCACGAGCAGAAGAAGTTGGGTTATGGAGCTTTGGTTGGTTGCTTATTCATCGCATTTAGCTTCTGCATTATGCTTAAACCTCATCTGGGTCGTCCTCTTCTTCTTCCAGTTTGTAAGTTTTCCTTATAAAAGAAGTTTTAAAGATTAATACATTTGGACACTTTGATGTGGTATGTTTTTTCTGGTGACTTTTGATGTAAACAACAAAGACATCTCTGTTTCTTTGTTCTTTGACCTTTTTAATGAAACAGAAACATGGTTTTGCAGTGAATCTCCAGATTCTTTCTAGAGGCTGGGGCATCAAAATGCTGATGATCAATGAAGCATACAGTTCTCTGCAACCAAATGAAGGTATGCCAACCAATAGTGACAGAGCCTATGTAATCTTTCAGTTCTAAAAGTTTAAGGGGAGAGGAAAACTTTAAATCCTAATGCTTTAGTATATCCGTCTATTAGAAGAACTCTTAAAATATACAAGTGGCATTTGTTTTGCAGTTGCAGACGCTGTTATAAAGAAGACAACGCCAATATGCAGTTTAGCGGATAGGGCAGATTTCTGTGACATTATTGATGTGAATGTTAGAATTGATGGAGAATCTTCCTCGGTTTATTTTGCTTCAACTGACATGGGAATCTCCGAAGGCAACAGCAGTTGGAAAATAAGACCTTATGCCAGAAAAGAAGACGAAGCTGCAATGGGAAATACAAGGGAATGGTCAGTAAAAGCAGTGAAAAATCCCCAAAAGATGCCCCAATGCACAAGAAATCACTCTGTTCCAGCCATCCTATTCTCCACTGGTGGATACGCAGGAAACCATTTCCATGACTTCACAGACGTGGTCATTCCCCTGTTCGTAACAGCCAGAGAATTCAATGGAGAGGTCCAATTTCTCATAACTGATACACAACCTTGGTGGGTTTTAAAGTATCAAGCAATTATTTCAAAGCTGTCCAAATTTGACATCATTAACATCGACAAGGAGACACAAGTTCATTGCTTCCCTCGAGCCATTGTGGGTCTTAAACGTGACGACAAGGAACTTAGAATTGACCCAAAAAAGCACTCGTACTCCATGAGAGATTTCAAAGAGTTCTTGAGAAGTTGTTACTCGTTGAAGAGAGACAGAGGAGGAGGCAGGGGAAGAAAAAAGGGGTTAAAGCCACAGCTTCTCATCGTTGCAAGGAGGAGAACCAGATCGTTTACAAATACAGAGGAGATCAGAAAAATGGCGAGGAAATTGGGTTTCAAAGTGATTGTTATGGAGCCAGATGTGAATGTGAAGAAAGTTGCAGAAATTGTGAACTCTTGTGATGTGATGATGGGAGTTCATGGTGCTGGACTTGCAAACATTGTTTTCCTTCCTAAAAATGCAGTTTTTATTCAGATTGTACCTTTTGGAAGCAGATGGGCCAAGTGGCTGTCCAAAAACTTCTTCGGAGAGCCTTCAAAAGACATGGAATTGAAGTATTTGGAGTACAATATGAGTGTGGAAGAGAGCACATTGATTCAGCAGTACCCAAAAGATGATGTGGTCTTGAGAGATCCTCAGGCAATTCAAGACCAGGGGGGTTGGAGGGCTTTCAAGTCTGTTTATTTTGTTAAGCAAAATGTAAACCTTGATATCAACAGATTTAGACCCACTTTGCTGAAAGCTCTTGAGCTTCTGCAGCAATAGCTAGTGTGGAACGTTCTAGGCCCATGATTATATATGTCTTCTTGACAGTGTGTAGCATCCCAGGCCCAAGACTAGACGGGGATTTGGAACCCAGATTCGGCACTTTATTGTCCCGACACGAGTCATTTCAACATACTTCATCTTTACTCACATACTTCTTAGCAAATCAACTAGAAAGTTACCCAACCGAATATTAGTAACTACTAATTAATTTTTTTGAGTTTTTCTTAACCATGCTTCCATGCTTCCATGATCTTATGATCACTGATGCCTGTTATCCCTAAATCTACTCCCATGTCACACAGTGGGATTAAGTTAGTCATTTGTCCAAATAATTTTTCTGATCTTTCTCTGGTGAGTTATCAAATAAGAACCTTCCCCAATATGGATTCTTATAGTGAGAATTCGAACCTTCGACTTTTTGATCGAGACATGATATTTTAATGCATATAGAATTACAGACATTATAGTATACTATATAAAGTGTATAATCGTTAGAATTCTCAAATTCACGACAGAGTTGGTTGATATCTTATAAGAAGTTCAAAATATATTTTGAATTTGAATTAAGTTTTGTTGATTAAATTTTAGAGTCAATAGATGTTTTGAAACACGTTACGTGGGAATCACTATGCAGGGATGCAGGCCATTGCATTATAATAATCTCAAGATTACAACTTGCAGAAGAACCTCAAGGCTTCTATGGGCAAGATACAAAGATGATAGCGAGACCAGTGAGTTGTGTTAATTTTCATTTTGCAGATGATACAATTTTCATGCTAATGCTAAGATAAATTAATGAATTTATTTAGGGTTCGTTTCGTATCGTTTATGATTTTCGTTATAGATTTTGAGGAAAGTAGGTATAATTACTCATTTAATAACGTTATTATTTATTGTTTTTCGTCTCTAATTTTGTTAAGAAAATCTAAACATTTTACAATTATTCGTGTTTATGTTTCTCAGGTTTTTAGAAAACGTTATTAAAATTGTATAAAAATTTTGGAAACAAAAAAAATGAGTCCTGTTTTTTATTTCTCGTTTCCAATCTTATTAAGAAATCTAAGCATTTGATAACTATTGATATTTATTATTTCTCGTTTTTTCAAAAATATTCTCAAAGTTGGGAAATTGATTGTACAAAAAATTTGGAAATTGTTTTTTAGTAAAAAAAATCTTGTTTTATCATCTTCCATCTATGGGTACTTGAGGCCATGCAATTCTACTTTTTTTTTTCTAAAAAATATGAAACATAAACAAGAAACAAACGGTAACGTTACCAAACTGGCTCCAAGTTTCGTGTTTCTTGTTCCCCATTCTTAAATCCAAGGGTATTGAAGCATGTAATTCTATTTTTATATATCTTTATAAAAAGGAATAAACAAACGAAGTATCGCTCATTAGTACACATATTTCCGATTGAAAGATCGTGAATTCGAATTCGAATTCTCATTCCGATGCGTTGATGTGTTTCAAGAAACGAGAAACGAGAAACAGATACTATTTTCTATTTATTAAGAAAACGAAAATAATAAGAAACAGAAAATGAAAAACGTGAAAACTTTTGCCCTTTAACTAACTGGTGAGAAATGGGTCTTTGTGGGTGGGAAGGAAGAGAGATGTTCATTGAAACAGTCAACCGACGAGTCACTTTCGCATCCCCAATTTTTTAAGTTTTCAGAGTCACTAGTACACATTCATCAAACGAATTCGTGGGAAGCAACAATTCCCAATTTCCTTGAAAATATGCACCTCAAATTCTTCAAGTCTTGGTTCAGAAAATGGCATCAAAATCCATACTCTGTTCCTCTGCATTCAAAGATGCAACTTTTTATATGTAGAAACAGAGGACGTGGGTTTTAATCTTTTGATGTGAAAGTTTCAGCCTTCTCCATTAATCGGCCTGAAAATATGTTGTACGATTCCATACTTTCCAGGAGCTTCAGCAAGCATGAGCAGAAGAAGTTAGGCTATGGAGCTTTGGTTGGTTGCTTATTCAGTGCATTTAGCTTCTGCATTGTGCTTAAATCTCATATGGGTGGCCCTCTACCTCTTCCAATTTGTAAGTTTTCCATTCCTTACATTTGGTTAAGCTAGAGAATGTGACAATTACTAAAAAAAGGTTAAAAAAAAGTTTAATACATTTGGATTGACACTTTGATGTAGTATGTTTTCTTTCTTCTTTGACCTTTTCAATGAAGCAGAAACATGTTTTTGCAGCGAATCTGCAGATTTTTCCTAGAGGTTCAGGCACCAAAATGCTGATGATCAATGAAGCAATCATTTCTCAGCAATTAAATGAAGGTAGGACAACCAATTGTGACAGAGCCAGAAATTTTCTCAAGGAATCACAACATTTTACTGTGTAATCTTTCAATTCTAGAAGTTTTAGGGGAGAGGAAAACTTTAAAATTCTGATGCTTTAAATGTCTAAATGGCATTGTTGCAGACATTGTTACAAAGAAGACAGCACCAGTATGCAGTTTGACGGATTGGACAGATTTCTGTGACATTATTGATGTGAATGTTAGAATTGATGGAGAAGCTTCCTCGGTTTTTTTTGCTTCAACTGACATGGGAATCTCCGAAGGCAACAGCACTTGGAAAATCAGACCTTATGCCAGAAAAGTGGACGAAGCTGCAATGATAAAAACAGGGGAATGGTCAGTAAAAGCAGTGAAAAATCCCCAAAAAATGCCTCAATGCACAAGAAATCACTCTGTTCCAGCCATTCTCTTCTCCACTGGCGGATACGCAGGAAACCATTTCCATGACTTCACAGACGTGGTCATTCCCCTATTCATAACAGCCAGAGAATTCAATGGAGAGGTCCACTTTCTCATAACTGATAGAGAACCTTGTGGGTTTTAAAGTATCAAGCAATTATTTTAAAGCTGTCCAAATTTGACATCATTAGCATCGACAAGGAGACACAAGTTCATTGCTTCCCTCGAGCCATTGTCGGTCTTAAACGGGATGATCAGGAGCTTAGAATTGACCCAAAAAAACACTCATACTCCATGGGAGATTTCAGGGAGTTCTTGAGAAGTTGTTACTCGTTAAAGAGAGACAGAGCAACTGAAAACAGAGGAGGAGGCAGGGGAAGGAAAAAGGGGTTAAAGCCACAGCTTCTCATTGTTGCAAGAAGGAAAACCAGATCGTTTACAAACACAGGGGAGATCAGCAGAATGGCGAGGATATTGGGTTTCAAAGTGATTGTTATGGAGCCAGATAGGAATGTGAAGAAAGTTGCAAAAATTGTGAACTCTTGTGATGTGATGATGGGGGTTCATGGTGCAGGACTTACAAACATTGTTTTCCTTCCCAAAAATGCAGTTTTTATTCAGATTGTACCTTTTGGAGGTGGAGGGGCCAAGTGGGTGTCCCAAAACTTTTTTGGAGAGCCTTCAAAAGAGATGGAATTGAAGTATTTGGAGTACAATATGAGTGTGGAAGAGAGCACATTGATTCAGCAGTACCCAAAAGATGAGTTGGTTTTGAGAGATCCTCAGGCAATTCAAAACCAGAGGGGTTGGAGGGCTTTCAAATCAGTTTATTTTGATAAGCAAAATGTGAACCTTGATATCAACAGATTTAGACCCACTTTGCTGAAAGCTCTTGAGCTTCTGCGGCAATAGCTAGCTATATTATATATATGCTATCTCCTTGACAGTGGGATTAAGTTGGTCCTTTTCCCAAATGATTTTTCTGATCTTTCTTTCTGTTGGTACCCGAGATTTGTGGATCCGAAGTAGATTTGTGGCAACCTTCGACAAAAACACGAGATGGCTGCTCTATGGGCAAAGATCACCTACCAACACATTGGACGAAACAAAAATCAAATGTCAAATGACACCGTGGAGAGATCCGCTGCTATTGGGGCACAGAGAGTTGACTTCAACACCCCTTCGAATACACAATCTCCCACTCTTATACTATTTTAAAGATGAATAAAGTATCACTAAAAAAAATATAAATTGATGGGTTGAGTAAATTTAATTCATTTCGAATTACGAGAATCACCGACCTACACTTCCATTTGTTATACCAAAACAAATAAAGAGAAATATAAATTTAATGAATGGAGTCGTCTGGCCGTTAATGTTCTTTTTTGCTTTTTTAGTACAATTAATAATAATTTTGTATTTGTAACCATTTTATGAGATCTAACTTTTGCCTTTGGAAAATAACACCACTTTTCTACAAGGCTATATTGGTAATTTCCTACTCTCTCGAAATCTCCTTCCCTTCCCCTCCCGCTCTCAGTTCGCGTTGGTCTCTCTAGGGTTTGCCTCGTCGCCATTTCTAAACTTAATATTTGTTCCAAATCTCTCTCTCTCTCTCTCACATACTGTCGGGGCATCCTTTGAGCTGTAGTTTGCTCATCCATGGCGGCTCCCGCTGTATCTCAGCCCCGATCCTCAAAAACCGAGTCCTACGTTGATAATAAGCGTAAGGAGGATATTCGCCAGGCCAATATCGTGGCAGCCCGAGCCATCGCTGATGCTGTTCGTACTAGTCTTGGGCCCAAAGGCATGGACAAGATGATCTCCACGGCTTCTGGCGAGGTAATCATTACTAATGACGGGGCAACCATTCTCAATAAGATGGAGGTTCTCCAACCTGCCGCTAAAATGCTCGTCGAGCTCTCGAAGTCGCAGGACTCTGCTGCTGGAGATGGTACGACTACCGTGGTCGTCATTGCAGGTTCACTTCTTAAACAGTGCCTTTCTCTCTTGTCCCATGGGATTCACCCAACTGTAATCTCCGATTCCCTCCACAAGACCGCCATTAAGGCCGTCGACGTGTTGACAGCAATGGCTGTCCCGGTTGAATTATCGGATAGAGAGTCGTTGATTAAATCGGCGAGTACTTCGCTCAATAGTAAGGTTGTCAGTCAGTACTCGACACTGCTCGCGCCGCTTGCGGTTGATTCTGTGCTGTCGGTTGTTGACCCTGCTAAGCCAGATTTGGTAGATTTGAGGGATATTAAGATTGTGAAGAAGCTGGGCGGGACCGTGGATGACACTGAGCTTGTGAGGGGTTTGGTGTTTGACAAGAAAGTAAGTCATGCGGCCGGCGGACCGACCAGAATGGAGAACGCGAAGATTGCAGTAATTCAATTCCAGATTTCACCACCTAAGACTGACATTGAGCAGAGTATTGTGGTTTCGGATTATACCCAGATGGATAGGATATTGAAAGAGGAGAGAAATTACATTTTGGGTATGATTAAGAAGATTAAGTCGACTGGGTGCAACGTATTGTTGATTCAGAAGAGTATTTTGAGAGATGCAGTGACAGATTTGTCATTGCATTACCTCGCAAAAGCCAAGATTTTGGTGATTAAGGATGTCGAGCGCGATGACATTGAATTCATTACCAAGACTCTCAATTGTTTGCCAATTGCGAATATTGAACATTTCCGCTCCGAGAAGTTGGGGTATGCAGATCTTGTTGAGGAGGCTTCAATGGGAGATGGGAAGATTGTTAGGATTACGGGCATCAAGGATATGGGGCGGACAGCTACTGTACTTGTTCGGGGGTCAAACCAACTAGTGATTGATGAGGCTGAGCGGAGCTTGCATGATGCCCTGTGTGTTGTTAGGTGTTTGGTAAATAAAAGGTTCTTGATTGCAGGTGGTGGTGCACCAGAAATTGAGCTGTCCAGGCAGCTGGGTGCCTGGGCAAAAGTGTTGCATGGAATGGAGGGTTATTGTGTTCGTTCCTTTGCTGAGGCTCTTGAAGTTATTCCATATACTTTGGCTGAAAATGCTGGGTTGAACCCAATCACAATTGTTACAGAACTGAGGAATCGTCATGCACAAGGTGAGATCAATACTGGGATTAATGTAAGGAAGGGGCAGATCACAAACATCTTGGAGGAGAATGTGGTTCAGCCGCTGCTTGTAAGTACAAGTGCAATCACTCTAGCGACGGAATGTGTTCGAATGATTTTGAAAATTGATGACATTGTCACAGTGAGGTAGAGTGTGGGCTTTAATTGAAAGATACATGCTGGTTTTGTTGTTTTTCATTTCCCTTTGCAAGTAGCCAAGTAGAAACTAGTTCTGTTTTGGTATGGCTAAAAAATTTTTACTGTGCTTTTTTCTCCTATTTTCCTATAGTTCATTGGCTTGCCTTTTGTTCTTTAGGAGATTTTATGGATCCTTATGTTGGTGAGTACATTTAATATTATATTTTCTACTTTTGGAAATTTACGTGTATTCATCAAACTTCATCAATTATTCGAGATGTTCTGTGATACTACTTTTCTCGGCTAGCATATCTTGGAATTGTCTAGATAGCTCATTTTATTTGTATGGTCTGTTTGATATAGTGGTTTCTGATGGATTGGTTAGCCATTCTTCTTCCCTACATTTTGTACCTTATCGTTCTTTTCTAAAACAAGTGGTAGTATGAGGAAAACTTATCGTCTTTAATGTGTAGCTACAATGATTCTTGGGGTATAATTGATGACATTCTGGATCATTGTTACAGATCTCATCTTTTCATTGGAGCTTGCCATTCTCATGATCTCATCAACTTTTTGAACTATTCATGGACTAGAATTCTTCGCCAGATATAAGATTCAGTTAATATTGTCTTTTTTGTCTCAGTTTGATTTGATCATGGACTTGTTTAACACATGCTGCCAGAGGAATTTTTGTGCTGCTTTGATTGGGGTATATAAAGGTCTAACACAATTTTTGGCCGAGTTTAATTTCATCTCACAACTTTTATCCTATGCTGTCGGGAAGAAATTTCTGTGGCTTAGAACCGACAGAAGTAGGATTTATGTAAAATTCTTCTGATGATAGGAAATAATTATATTGATAGATATGAAATTTCCCATAACATATCCATAACGATTAATTACAAGAACAGTTAAACTTCACACTTGGAAAAAGAAACATAGATCAGTTCCTGAAGTCTTGAGACCTCCTTTCCTCAATAGTCAATACTGAATATACATCTATCTCTTTGTAGCCAAATTTCTTGCAGGATTGGATAGAAGCCTGACAACGATCAAAACTTTGCCCTGTTATTGAATCTGTCGCCACATAGGCTTTGAACAGTAGGTTCTTTCACGCTTTAGGAAGCTGGAAGTAGAAATCAAGAGTATTAACTAGCTTTCTCCATAAAATCGTGGCCACAAGATACTAGATAGGAGGAAAAATGGTGATGAAAATTTTTCTGAATTTTCAAATCCCACCCCTACCCCACATTTGTTGTACTAAAAAAGTACTTAAATGAAAAAATGGGAGGGAGAGCCATCCAATAGAGAAGTAAACAGCCTAGTCGTCCACCTCTATCCAGAAAAAAAGGACTAGAGCTCTTTTTCAGGCTTGACTTCCTTTAGTTGGCTGTTTTTTGTTGTACATTCTTTCATTTGTCTTATTTCTTACCCCAAAAAAAAGAGTCCAATATTCTTGGAAACAATCCACCGAAAAAGTTGAAGGAAGGAAGAGAGAATCCAACTTAGATATGATATGCAAAGCGCTTCTACAGTTGCTGCGGTTGATGCATATCTCCGGAAGCCAGCCTATTCTTATCAAAATCATATTTGTTGGTAACCTTAATGATTCTCACTCTCTCAACTCCTTATGACCATGCCAGTTCTAGAAGCCACCAGACTAGGGGGATTCAGAGAAGTAGAAACAAAGTGGGAAGGCAACCATCATGGGATGACTTAGTGGTCAATAAGGGCCAATGTAAATAGCAAAGGGCTTGGAGGGAATGGGTTCAAACCATGGTGGTTACTTACTTAGGATTTAATATCCTACGAGTTATCTTGTCAATCAAATGTAGTAGGTTTAGGTGGTTGGTCCGTGATTAGTCGAGGTGCGTGCAAGCTGGTCCAGACACACGGATATAAAAATAAAACAAAAAGTGGGAAGGCAGGTTGAAATTGCTAGAACCTTGGTGACATGTACTCCGAAGGTCCTCCACTTTGGCTCATCATCAGCTTCACTTTTTCCAGCAGAGTGGTCCAAAATATTTTCCTTTAACTTGCAAAGATCTTCAGACTTGTTTTTCGGTTAATAATTAGTTTAGCGAAGTGTTTGGCTGTCGAGATTAACGCAGACTTGAATTGGACTGCAAGAATTCGAGGCAGACCCATTCGGCTTTAAGAACCTTCCTTTTTTAGGAAGACCCCAAATAACTTTGTCATATGGCTGCTATTTGTTTGGATCAAAATCCCTAATGTGAACTTATGTTCCCCATTTCAATTGTATCTGTGTATCTCTGTGAAATGATATTGGGAATTACATGCAAATGGACAGTATAATGTGTGTGTTCTATGTTCTATGAGGTATGTGGCTTTTCTTTTTTGGGTGAAGAAATCTTATGGAAACAAACCAAATATTTAAACCACCTTCTCCCATTGTGTCTTGTCTTTGTTTCGATTGCCTTTAGAATTGAAGACAAGAAATAGGAAATATGAATGTTGTCGAAGGAATATGAACCATAATAGCTGTCGTCTCCTCGATTAATTTTGTAGAATTTTGATAATGAAGTTGCTCTATAACATTATTTTATGAAAATGTAGTAACCAAAGTTTTTCTCAATCACTTTTTAATCACTTCTTAAACTTTCAATTGTAATGGAGGATGATTTTAATTTATAATTCACAGATACTATATTTGACCATTTTGTTTGTTTGTCTTTTTTTTTTTTTTTTAATACAACATCATTTTGGAGATAAGGCGTTTTATCCAGTGGGTCGGCAGTTAGTTAAGTTTATTCTCCTCGGACACCTTTAAAATATGTTCCACGAATATCATGTTCAGTTGTCTTTGTGTTATTTAAACGTAAATATGGGATATTACTAATAGCAATTAAAAAGCGATATTTTTTTCCTATCGAAGCAATTAATAAATAGAATTTTTTTTTATTTTTATTTTTTTGTTCTTTCGTGGATTAACACTTCTTTAGTTTCCAATTCCTTTTAATGAAAATTATTTTATTGTAAAAAAAAACAATAAATAGAGTTTTTTGCTTAACTGTAAATTTTTTTCCTAACATTTACATGATCTCTTAGTCTGACACATGTGCTGTACGTGGATTTGAACTTTCTATCTTAAAAAGTATTAGATTTGAATTCTCTGATTTAAAAAAAGGAGTATTTTTGTTGATTTTAATGTTTTTTATGTAAAATTTTAATCATGAAAATTTTATCAACTTTTATAACTACATATTTAAAATCTTGATTTTACCAAGTTTTCAACAAATCCAACGCATATTCTATATGAAGTAATATATATATCTTAGTACAACAAATTAGAGTTATGAAAAAATGAAAAATTTGAACATACAGCTTTAATAGGATAAGAATGTATTAATTACTATTGAGCTATATTCAATAAAAACGATTACATAAATGTAATATAAAAATAACATTGAAATTTTTTCCTTTTTAATTCAATAATACGTAGAAATGAAAATTGGAAAGTCGAAAATATATGTTATTTGAAGTGTGCTTTAGTTGGCGATGTAGTTATATCATAGGTAGAAAAAATCCCGTTGAAGTGAAAAAGTAGTCAAGTTGGGCAGCTGGTCTGTATCTCATAAATTTACCTTATAAATGTGAAATCCAAACCCTAATATTGGAAAAAAAAAAAGATAAATAAAAGGAGGAAGGAAAAGTGAAAGGAAAAAAGGGGAAAAAGGAGCCCCCAAATCCTAAGGGCTAAGCCGGTTCCTCCAATATCTTCTCGATATCTCTCTCTGGAGCTCTCTCATCTCTGTTGTCCCTCTCGGATTCTCCAGCGGTGACCGCCTTTCTTTCTTTTTACGTTTTTGCTTTCTATTTTCAGGGTGGATCTTCTTGAGCTCTGCTGACGGCGATTGTCAAAGAATTTCATTCGCACAGCCTCTGAAAGCGAAGGCCCTCGGTGTTCTGGTTGCTCATTTGTGTCACCAATTTTTCTGCCTTTTGTGTCCGATCACTTTTCGCTGCTTCTGATTATCCTTTCTCACATCGAGATTGAGTTTTGTGTATCAATTTTGGGCCTGATCGGTCTTGTACTCTGTCCAATAATCTCATATTATAAGAAAATTAGACTAGGGTTCAAGTGTTTTTCATTTTTTTCTTTTTGTTCTCTTTGTAGTTTCAATTGATTGTAGCTTTGGGCTCCATGTTAATGGATTTTCCCTTCCCAGTATTGTATTATTGACGTTTATATGATTATTATCTTCTCATTTATTTTTTTTCCTTTCCTGATCTGATTTTCTACGGGGAAAAGGTGTGAAAAAAAAGAGAAAAAAAGGAAGAAGGTGGGAAGAAAAAGAAAAAAAAGAACTTGTGAAAATTTCAATAAACAATACATTCGTGCCATCCCCTTTTCTTAATTAAAAAAGAGAGAGAGAGAGAGAGAGAGAGAGAGAGAGAGAGAGAGCGAGAGAGGAAAAAACCGAGATTGTAAAATTTGTGTACTATTTTCGAATGGGGAGCCCTGCATTAAGTGGTCGGAATAATGGGCAGCGATTAGGCATTACTGATCCCATTTCGTTGAGTGGACCAACGGAGTACGACGTGATAAAGACTCGCGAACTTGAAAAGGTTATCGGGTGTTTCAATTTGAACAAAATCATTTATTGCAAGTATGCTGTGTTTTCTCCTGAACTTAGTTGTTTTTTTTTTTGGAGTGTTCAGTATTTGCAAGATGCTGGATTGTACGAGAGTCAGGAAGAAGCCGTGAGTAGAGAGGAAGTTCTTGGAAGACTGGACCAGGTTGGGTTATACTTAATTGCTTTTGAGAAGTAGAAAAGAAGAAAATAATGATTTGTATCGGTTGCCATGCTTAGTTGAACTTTAACATTCATGTATTTGCTGTTTAAATGATAAAACATTGTGGTTCTGTCCTGTGATAGTAATGTTTTGAGTATTTGTTGTATATGGAGCAGATTGTGAAGATTTGGGTTAAAGCAATTAGTCGTGCGAAAGGGTTGAATGAGCAACTGGTGCAAGAAGCAAATGCTAAGATTT